TGCCAGCTTAGGCCCAATCCCCCGGGGAGCGGGCCTAAGCCAGCAGGTGGTCATCCCCTAGGGGTCCCAGACTGCGAGAGGGCACAGGCCGGGCTGAGCCCCCTCCCCCCCCCAGTGCATGATTTTCTGTGCACCGGGCCTCTAGTATTTTATAATAAAAGATATAAAAAGTCTCTTTTAAAAACTGGAGGAAAGAGAAAAATGTTTTATTCTCCTCCTAAACATTTGTTGTTGTTGTTAATCCTCACCTGAGGATATTTTTCCATTGATTTTTGGCAAAAATGGTAGGGAGGGGGAGAGACAGAGAAAGAGAGACAGAGATGTGAGAGAGGCACATTGATTGGTTGCCTCCCTGTACGCACCCCACACAACCTGACTAGAATATATTCCAGCCGGGACCCTTTAGTCCTTGAGCCAACGCTCTATCCACTGAGCCAAACCAGCTAGGACCCTCCTAAACATTTTTCAATCAACTTCTCTCTCTCGCCAAGGAAATGGCAGACACTTGTACCAGTAGACTTTCTGTTGCCAGGTCTCTTTCTCAACAGAGGAGCTGGCACCAGGAGGTCCTACCTTTTTAGAAGTGCCAAGTTCAGCTGACTTCTCCGAAACTTCTGAAGACGACACAGCTTCAGGTTGCTGGCTACCTATTTTCTCTGTTGGTTTATCCCTTTCATTGCAGCTTTCAGATTCATCACTAATGGGCTTGAGTTTTCTTCCTCGCTATGCCAAGAAAACAGCATTACTGCTTTAGAAAATACAAATGCTTATCACTCTTATCGTAACAGTAGCTGACCATCAAGCCCACACTTCCCCCACTGAGCCAAACCGGTTTTGGCAACTTCCCATTTCTAAACTTCAAGATGGAACAGGGAGATGACAAGATTAGGGGGTAGGACAGGCAACCCAGAGGAAAGAAAGCTCCACAAACTCCCAGTACACCGGTCTGCCTTTGTAAACCACAATCTAAACACAGTACGCGAACGTTACAACTGACAAGGTACACGGAGACACGAGACCTCTGTTATGGAAAACACTTCAGACATAAAAACATTTCACTTATCTAAAAAGTACCTTCTAAAACATAATACTTTTCCTCTATGAAAAACATTGCCACAGAACTTTTTTTAATCTGCATCCAATCTAAACAGGATATGGAATATTTTATGGAACATTTTCTCTACTGTCAGCCAATCTAAGCAGGATATGGACTATCTTAAAAATTAAGGTAGAAAAGAGAACACTCCGACATACCTTTTTTGCACTAACTTTCACAGGCTCGTTTTCACTTTCTTCAGTTTCAGAAGTGTTCGAACTGTGCCAAAGAATGAGCTGTCAATATCTTGCACACATTTCATTTTCATTCACGTGTTTTAAGTTGCTTGCCCAACAAGAGAATAAGCTCCACTGAATGAAATTTCCCGCCTGTCATGGGGGGGCTGCCACCTGCCAAGAAGCACTGGTCGTCTCCCACGTCACCCCCAGGCCACAACCGTTTATCCTTGGTAGGAAGTACTGTTGAGTGTCCCATTACAGCAGCACCTTGTGGTCACATCTGAGAACTGCACCCTCCTCCGAGTCACCACGCCCGGGTCTATCACGTGTACTAAAAGCAGACCTGCACACACCAGGCCCATCATTACGTGGAATAAGTGGGAATACTCCTTTTATCCTTAGAAAAAGTAACCCTGAACCTTGGGTGATGGATGAGTTCTTTCATCTTCTGCATTCAATTCAACACAACAAACATTTAACACCCATCTCAAAATGCAGAGTACAATAAAATTACTTTAAAAATTCAGAGTCTTCCTTTGAAGGTTCCCTGTGTGGCAGGAAGACCAAAGATAATGCCAAGCGATGACTTGGCAAGCAATGGACAGAGAAGACGAGGAGAGATGGCCGGGGATGAGGAAAGACAGCATAGCTATGACACCCGAGTTGACTTTTGAAAATACTTTTTCAGGCAAAGAAACACAGGAAAGAACAATGGCGGGCTCTTTCTTCAATGTTTCAGTCACTTGTTTAAGATCATCGAATAAAGACAAAATCTACACCGAAAAAAAAAAAAAAAGAAACAGGAAAGGGTATGTAAGGTAGAAGGAAAAGTAAGTGTAAGGCACGGTGGTGTGAGACAGCGGCATGTTCCCGGAATGTGCTGTGACAGAGACGGCAAATCCCTTCCTCTCTGTAAAAAATCAATAAAATATATATATTTTTTAAAATCTACACCGAAAAAAAAGAAAAAAAGAAACACAGGAAAGGGTATGTAGGTAGAAGGAAAAGTAAGTGTAAGGCACGGTGGGGTGAACAGCGGCATGTTCCCGGAATGTGCTGTGACAGAGAAGGGAATGCTAGGGGAGAGAACGACATGGGACCGGGGAGCTGGCCACGCAGCCAGAGCGCCCTCAGCTGGTCAACAGCCGGCAGCGGGTGCCATCAGTCTGTTGCCAGGTCTCTTTCTCAACAGAGGAGCTGGCACCAGGAGGTCCTACCTTTTTAGAAGTGCCAAGTTCAGCTGACTTCTCCGAAACTTCTGAAGACGACACAGCTTCAGGTTGCTGGCTACCTATTTTCTCTGTTGGTTTATCCCTTTCATTGCAGCTTTCAGATTCATCACTAATGGGCTTGAGTTTTCTTCCTCGCTATGCCAAGAAAACAGCATTACTGCTTTAGAAAATACAAATGCTTATCACTCTTATCGTAACAGTAGCTGACCATCAAGCCCACACTTCCCCCACTGAGCCAAACCGGTTTTGGCAACTTCCCATTTCTAAACTTCAAGATGGAACAGGGAGATGACAAGATTAGGGGGTAGGACAGGCAACCCAGAGGAAAGAAAGCTCCACATACTCCCAGTACACCGGTCTGCCTTTGTAAACCACAATCTAAACACAGTACGCGAACGTTACAACTGACAAGGTACACGGAGACACGAGACCTCTGTTATGGAAAACACTTCAGACATAAAAACATTTCACTTATCTAAAAAGTACCTTCTAAAACATAATACTTTTCCTCTATGAAAAACATTGCCACAGAACTTTTTTTAATCTGCATCCAATCTAAACAGGATATGGAATATTTTATGGAACATTTTCTCTACTCAGCCAATCTCTAAGCAGGATATGAACTATCTTAAAAATTAAGGTAGAGCCGAAACCGGTTTGGCTCAGTGGATAGAGCGTCGGCCTGCGGACTGAAAGGTCCCAGGTTCGATTCCGGTCAAGGGCATAAACTTCAAGATGGAACAGGGAGATGACAAGATTAGGGGGTAGGACAGGCAACCCAGAGGAAAGAAAGCTCCACATACTCCCAGTACACCGGTCTGCCTTTGTAAACCACAATCTAAACACAGTACGCGAACGTTACAACTGACAAGGTACACGGAGACACGAGACCTCTGTTATGGAAAACACTTCAGACATAAAAACATTTCACTTATCTAAAAAGTACCTTCTAAAACATAATACTCTTCCTCTATGAAAAACATTGCCACAGAACTTTTTTTTAATCTGCAGCCAATCTAAACAGGATATGGAATATTTTATGGAACATTTTCTCTACTGTCAGCCAATCTAAGCAGGATATGGACTATCTTAAAAATTAAGGTAGAAAAGAGAACACTCCGACATAAAAAATCAATAAAATATATTAAAAAAAAAAATTAAGGTAGAAAAGGGAACACTCTGACTTACCTTTTTTGCACTAACTTTCACAGGCTCGTTTTCACTTTCTTCAGTTTCAGAAGTGTTCGAACTGTGCCAAAGAATGAGCTGTCAATATCTTGCACACATTTCATTTTCATTCACGTGTTTTAAGTTGCTTGCCCAACAAGAGAATAAGCTCCACTGAATGAAATTTCCCGCCTGTCATGGGGGGGCTGCCACCTGCCAAGAAGCGCTGGTCGTCTCCCACGTCACCCCCAGGCCACAACCGTTTATCCTTGGTAGGAAGTACTGTTGAGTGTCCCATTACAGCAGCACCTTGTGGTCACATCTGAGAACTGCACCCTCCTCCGAGTCACCACGCCCGGGTCTATCACGTGTACTAAAAGCAGACCTGCACACACCAGGCCCATCATTACGTGGAATAAGTGGGAATACTCCTTTTGTCCTTAGAAAAAGTAACCCTGAACCTCGGGTGATGGATGAATTCTTTCATCTTCTGCATTCAATTCAACACAACAAACATTTAACCCCCATCTCAAAATGCAGAGTACAGTGAATAAAATTACTTAAGGGTGGTCCCCATCTTAAAGAGCTCAGAAATCCCATTAGCCATGAATGAAATAAACAGGTGCTGGAATACAAGCGTACCTCCTTCTTGCTTCTTGTCCTTGTGGAGGTGAAGGGATAAAGGACCCGCAGTGCTTGGAGAGCTCAGCTTCATCGCTGTAGATAGCAGTGCTGTGTAGAGGAGGCTCTACAAAAGGTTTTTAAGGTGCAACGTTAAAAGTCTGCCTGGGCGGGTTTAAGGTTGTTCCTGTACAATGGAGCACAAAGTGATTTTGTTTAAATGGCTAACAAAATCAAAATCAATTACACCACCTACTTCCCAAATGTCTACTTTAAAAATTCAGAGTCTTCCTTTGAAGGTTCCCTGTGTGGCAGGAAGACCAAAGATAATGCCAAGCGATGACTTGGCAAGCAATGGACAGAGAAGACGAGGACAGATGGCTGGGGATGAGGAAAGACAGCATAGCTATGACACCCGAGTTGACTTTTGAAAATACTTTTCCAGGCAAAGAAACACAGGAAAGAACAATGGCGGGTTCTTTCGTCAATGTTTCACAGTCGCTTGTTTAAGATCATCGAATAAAGACAAAATCTACACCGAAAAAAAAAAAAAAAAGAAACAGGAAAGGGAATGT